GTTTGTATAGAGCCGAAGCTCTAAACCATCAAAGTAAAGTGCACCTTCAAATAGTGTTAAGAAATGTGGTGTTGGAAATCTTTGTGATAGCCTTAAAATATATTTTCATCTTGAATTATAGAATTTAAAGCTTCAAAAATCGTGTAGATCAAGCAGATCTATGAATATCTTGAAAGTTGACAGTCCAAAAATGCGTTCAAAGATGCACTATTTCCAAATCTTGAAATCCATTTTTTTCTCATGTCCATACTTCTTGATGTCAAGATGATCAATTTAAGGATATTTGGGCATCAAAACAACCTCTTCTAGGGAAATTTTTGAGGTGGGCTCCAATTTGATTGTTTAGAGCCTTAGCCTTATATAAACGTTTTGCGATATACATATATATATATGCTGGCCGGAATGAATATAGGCAAGGGATCTTAAGTGTGACTCCAATGGCAATAAGATGAGGGAAAGTAGACTTACGTGGGCTAGCCATGTGCATCGTACACCTAATACAACACCAATTAAAAGGAGCGATTTGGTTCAAGTGGAAGGCTCTAAAAGGGCACATGGATAAAAGTAGTGAGAAGAGATATGGTAGATTGAGGGTATGGCCCCTTGATAGTGCAAAATGGTAAAACAGGATCCATGTAGCCGATCCCAAATAGTTGGGATAAGGCCTTGTTGACAATGATGATGGTGATGATGATATATATTTGAAGTGTTAATGGTGGGAATGGAGCCTAGGATGTTTGATCTGATTTGCCGTAATCCTATAATTTATATTAATGCACTATTCAAAAAAAAGAAAAGCAAAAAGAACACACATAATCCATTCATGCTAGTGAACACACATAATCTAGTCATGCTAACAAATACTTAAAACATGTGATCTACATCATTAAACTGCTCCCAATAACGCTTACCATCATTGAATATGTGTACCAATTGATACCTGGATTACCTCTAGGAGCACGAGTCTTGGTGTGATGCATGTTACTCTGTGATATCGATTGTGCCTTATGATGATTGTCCTTGCAACCATTGTTGCCTAGGTGCAAGCAATGGGCTTCCACCCTCCCTAAGGCCCTGGTGGTTCCACGTGGGGCTTCGAACATTAGAGTCCCCAACTAGGCTGACGGCTTTCTCCTGGAGGCTATGATATTCAAGGGTGGATAATGGCCTCATGTGGGAGAAAAGTTTTTGTCATTTTCAGGTCTTTTAAGGGGGATAAGAGAGGGGAATTGGGGGACGGTTTCTTAACCCTTAGGTCCTTCCAAACTCCTAACTTTGCTTTAAGAACTTGGATTTAACCCCAAAACCTGAAATATGTTGAAAATAAAAATATCTGCAATGAAAGTGAGATGTTTTGGATCAAGATTGGAAGACTTGTAATTGGTTCGGAACACGGGGCCTGCCTAGAGTGAGTCAGCTATGCGAGCCTTGAGTTGACTTGCTGAGTTTGTCCCAGGTCGGCCGATTAGGCTAGAGAAACTCCCAGAATGTCAGAAGAAATCATAGAAATTCAGAAAAAATAGAAGTACCTCTTTTTTTTAGGCAGTTTAGTAGGAATAAAACTTGTGATGTAGGATTGTTAAAGTCAACTATGAACCACATAAGCCCAAATCCAATTTCTAAAGTATTGAATCTGGATATAAATACATGTTGAATTGGAATCAAACTTGTGATGTAAGGTTGTTAAAGTCAACTACGAACCACTTAACCCTAACTCCAATTGCTAGAGTATTGAATCTGAATATAAAAAAGAATAGAACTTGTATTTAATTTCATGAATTTAAATTGAAAAATATAAAGTGATCCAAAAGTTCACCGCTAATCATCCAATCTTTGCTCAGTGTGATTCATGCCTCCAATATTTGTCAAAGTGTTCTCACGCACCTCAAATAAAAATCCTCACAAACTAGATTTGGGGTTGGAGTTCAGATTACTTTATATGAGCTATTGAAATTTTTGGGTGAATTATAACTACAAAATAAAAATATCTTTTTTTTTTTTGGTGAGAAATCAACCTGTAATTGGATGGATAACCCAAAAATAGGCTTAGGGAATAATTTTAATCCAATATCGACCAACCGTTGAAATCGCAGCTTTTTGAATTTGCTTAAAGCCTAGGTCCAAATTTTTAATTCATCAAAATCTGTAAAATCTAAATTTTTTTTTTTTTCAAAATTTATTTATTCAACTGATAGTTCATTAAAAATTGAGCATACCCCTGAAATTTGTGCCCAATCAGATGCTTGAATGAGGAAAAATGAGGGAAAAGTGGGGACTGGTTTCTGCCGCCCTTTTTATTTCTGAAAGTTTATCGAACTTGGCAAGTTTTGACAGACTTCGTCTGTAAAGAACCTTCTGAGTTGCTAAATACTCGAGGCAATTTGCTACAGTAACTAGCCCAGATACCCTAGCAATTCAATAACACCACTAATTAGGGGTTTTCCTTGCTTGGCAGGGTGCCAAGTCTAAGTGACTCAGCCAGTCCAAGTGGACTAGGCAGAGTTTTCTACCACCATTATGGATATATTATTTTATTACTATACGTATATATATATATATACCTTTTTTTTTTTTGAAAACTAAAATATGATGTGAACATTTTCTTTTCCTTAATTTTCACCTCCTGGAAGTCCAGCTGCCTTCCTTGAGCACCATAGCAGGCTGGCCTCTGCTTATCACTTTTGTCAAACAGTGCTTGCAACCATGGAGGGTATATATGCCAATTTGTGGTTATTTTATAATTTTAGTGAAAATTTTTTGCTGTCTAATTATTTTCTCAGAATTACCCTCTTGAGCACCTTTCTTACAATGTTGATGTGCCCATTAGGTACCCGTTGGAGTTGCGGAAGGAAAAATCAACTAAAGACAAGGTGAGTGCCTACCTTCATCTTGAGCAAGTTAGGATCGTACTTCTCTTTGATTTTAAAGTCTTTCTTAAGATAATAAGCTTTTATAATCAAGGAAAAATATCTCCCTATCCCTTTTTAGGTTTCATTTCTTGACAAACCAAAGGTTTCAAAAGATATCTTCTAACCCCTGGCCACTTTAAATCTATTTTTTAACCTAAATAAATGTGAGAAAGACATGCTCTTTCTAATCCCAATCCTTTCTCTCTCTTCACTTATATACCCCAAACTTCTCTCTTTCTCTCTCTTCCTGTGTTTCTCACTCTCTCTCTCTCTCTTGCCGTGTTTCTCCAAACACCTCTCTCTCCTTCCGATAACCTCTCACCTCCATGAAGCCCTTCTCTCTTTCTAGAGGAGGCCATGGCCATGGCCAAAACCCCTGCAAATGCCAAAAACCTGCGTACCCTCTTCCCCATCCTCATTCTCCCATTCTCCCTCTTCCCCATCTCTTGTTCTCTCTCTGTTTCTCTCTCTATGCAGCCCGATCAAGGCCCTGCATTACCCATATATGCTTGCAACTAAATAAATAGTCAGATTGGTATTTCCCGCATTTCTTTATTTCTTGCTGGAATTCATCGTCTCTCTCTACTGGTCAGGATCGAAAGTTCCCAACTCTTGAAACCCACAAAGAAGATTTCCTGCTCACTCTCCCTCTTTTCATCGCCTCTGTCTCTCTCTCTCTAACTTCCACCCACTTGCACGGGTAGCAGGAGGGTTGCTGCCCTTTGTTTTCTCTATCCCTCATCTGCTGCTGCCCTTTGTTTTCTCTATCCCTCATATGCCACCTTCTCTCTCCCACTAATCTTTCTCTCCCCGGCTCCAAGTAACCTATCCAGGTTGATCTGGCACATTTTGTAAACAGTGGTCGCGTCCAGTGATTAAAAAAGCGGACCACCCAGCACTTAGGCGGCCAATCTGGGCGGTCGCCTAAGCGATACAGAACCCTCATAGGCGGCCGCCTCCTAGCGCCCAGCCCAAGGCCTATGCCCCACCCAGGGGCTGAAAAAAATTCATGAGGGTATTTTATGTCATTTTTTTTTGTTTTTAAGGCCCAAAAATTAGTGTTTTAGGTTCATTTGAAACCTAAACCTTGTTTGAGCCAAATTTAGAGAGTGAAAACCCCTAAAAAACTAGACTGTGGTGAATTTTTTAATATCAAAGGGTTACTCAAAGTTAACCAAAATTGATCAAAACATCACCCATTGGTATTATATTTACTTTTTGATGTTTTGCAAAGTTATTAGGGGCTATTTTAGAAGATTTTGAGTATTTAGAAACATCTTTGAGGTGGAAGTTTGAAGATTGAGCAATCAAACTCAAAGTAGGTGATTTTTTTTATTGCTTTAATAATTTGTATTATTTTTTAGATGTCTTCTTTGGGATCTAATAGGAGTGGTGATCCTTGTTGGAAATATGGCTATAACCCAGATCTTAATGATAAAAATTGCATAAGATGCAAAAAAGGATACAAAAGGGAGCATAAACCGGTTCAAGAAACATCTTGCCGGTACCAGGGGGATGTTACCCCATGTAAAAAGACTCCTGATGCTGTTAAAGAGGAAATAAATAATTTTATGAACTTGGTAAAACTGAAAAAAGATGAGAGATTTGCCTCTATAGCAAAGATTAGGTCTTGGGTTCGAGTCAGTTTTGATGATGATGATAGTGATGATGAAAGGATTGGGGAGGGATGTCAAGAGTTGAGAAATCCATTATTAGGGGAAAGGAGAAGGGAGTTGTAATTGTTTGGTTCTGGGACTAAGAAGCCTCGGGTTAGAGGCCCTATGGATAGTTTCTTACCTCGGCCTGACCCTGAGATTGCAGGAGAGAAAACCAAAAAGCAAACAACCATTGAAAATATAATCAAGAAGGAAGAGAGAGATAGAGCTACATATTATTTGGCTACATGGTTTTATGAGGCGGGCATTCCTTTCAATATCGCTCGCTTGAATAACTTTTATGCTGCAGTAGAGGTAATTGGCCAATTTGGTCCTGGGATGAAACCCCCAACCCCATATATGCTTTCAGATCCTTTTTTAAAAAAGGCAGTGAGTGCCATGAAGGAAGTTGTAGAACTTAAGAAAGATGCATGGGCTCAGTATGGGGTTTCTGTTATGATTGATGCTTGGAGTGGTAAGAAGAGAAGAAGTCAAATGAATTTGCTTGTGAATGGTCCAGTAGGGACTGTTTTTTTGAGGTCTATTGATGCCTTTGATCATATCCATGATGCCCATTACATATTTCAAGTGATAGAGAAGGGAATCAAGGAGGTTGGGGAGCATCTTGTTGGACAAGTTGTCACAAACAATGCTGCTCCTAATGTTGTTGTATCTAATTTGTTGTGCATAGCTTATCCTAGAATCTTTT